TTCCTGCTGCCTTTAAAGTCTTTCTAGATGTCTCTACGACCCTCCGGGACCTTCTCGCCCACACTACTGAGTGGACTCAAGGTCTTCCTTTCTCCTTTGCCCTTGTGCCATCGTCCCGGTCGTCCTCAGTTGGAACAACCTGAGTTCAGGGACCTCTACGCCTGGTCGCTTTAGGGTTCTTTATTCTCCAGACCCTGTAAATCTTCTACCCGCCACATTTTAATTTTCACTGCAGCCTACTTGGCATGCCCGTCACCCCCTCCTCTCCTGGACCAGAGAACCCCTGCTCAATCTGGACGCTATGCAAGGGTCTCCTCTTGTAATACTTCTCTGACCCATTCAGCCATAGTTGCTCACTTCCCCCCACTGTGCCACCTCAGAATCTAGTACAGAGCTCTTATGTAATTGTTGATCCACATTTGTCTTTCCTACTAGACCAAATTTCTTAAAGGCTGGAGGATTACTTTCTTTTATCCATGGACTCCTAGCTCCTGGCATGTAGTACATGTTCAACAAATGATCGTTAAGTGAATGAATGCACCTACCCTCACCTCCCTTTCTAAACTAAAGTGCAAGAGACATCCTTTCCGTCTTAAGTCTCAACCAGTGTTCAAGATCACATTCCCTCAGTTACTCAGTGTGTGTTTGGGTGTATTTTCTGTGCCTTGTTCCCTTCAGCTAAAATACATTTTAGCTAAAATATCCTAAATTCTCCCTGTTTCTATTTATTACCCTTGCTCTTTCCTTTTCAGCCAAGCTCCCCAAAAGAACAGTCAACAAATCCTGTCCATTTGCTAGCTTCCCATTCATTGTTTCATCCACTGCAGTCTAGCTCTCAGCCCCATTATTTCAATGAAATTGCTCTTACCGAGGTCATCAATTAACCAAACACTGAACTGAATGTACTCTTCCTCATACCACTTATTCTTTGTTGTACTTTACCCATTTGACTTCTTTTTCTAACTAATCTCTTGCCTTCCTCCTATCTTTCTGGCTACTTCTCTGTCTTCCTTTCAGGTTCTTCTAAATTTGTCCACCATTTAAGTATTGGTGTCTTCAGCCTTCTGTCCTTGCCTCTGTTAACTTTTCATAGTACGCAGTGTTCTCCGGTGAACTCATCTTGGATGGCTTCAATTCACATCTCTCTTGCTGAGCTCCAGACTCATGTATTCACTTAATTTCTGGTTAGTATTCCTTGGACATTCTAAGACATCCTAGATAGACATATCCGAATACTTTGATCTTCCCGGTTCTCTGGTGTCTTCTTTATTCTATAGCTTGGTGAGCAGCCTTGTCCACCCAGATAGTGATGTCAGGGAGACTTCCCAAAGCATTCTTTTCCTCTAATACACTGTCACCGTGTCCTTTTTTCTACACCTGTCTCTCAAAGCTGCTTTCTCTTTTTTAGCCCTTGTGCCATGGCCTTCATTAAGGCCCTCATCTTCTGTCTTATCTGGAGTTCGGCACCCTTCTGTGATCACCCTGCCTGTATTCTAACCCTCCTCCAATCCGTCCATCCTTCACACCTCTGTCAGTTTGATCTTCCTAAAACATGACTCTCATCCTTTCACTTACTTGATCAAAAAGTCTGATAGTTCCCTATTACCAACAGAGTACAGCCCACTTGCCTTTCCAAACTAACCTCGGCTTCTTCCCTGCACAAGCTTTCTACTGCAGCCGAACTTGGTACATCCCTTCTACCTTTTTTCCTGTGTTAGTGCCATTTCTCATGCCTGGAGTACTCATCTTCTTTCTGACCAGATGTCCTGAAGCTTCCTCAACCTTTAAGCCCTACCTTACATTCTGCTTCTTCCCAGAACACTCCAGCCCACAGTGAGAATAACCAAATACACCTTGCAGTTTACAAAATGTGTCTGCCTGAGAGGTCAACTCTACTAGCCCCATTTTATGAATGAGGGAGTTGAGGCACAGAAGGTTGACTGACTTGTCAGAGGCTATAGAGCTGCTAAGATATAGAGCCTGGGCCTAGCCTTTAGTCTTTTTTCTCCAAATCTCCTGCTTTTACCTTAGCATCTCCTCCCTCTCTGACCTCACAGCATTATGGGCTTCATCACTCCTTCAGTCCTTAATCACATACTGTCTGTTACCAGCAGAAAGAGAGGCCTTGAGAGTTGGCGGCAAGGCCTAGGAAGAGTTCATCCTCTATTTGACATCAAAACTGGCCAGTAAGTGCACAAGTGATGAGCTGAGCTACCTAGAAACTACCCTTGGGAAGATGGTCTGTGAATGGAGGTAAGCTGGGCAGAGTTTGGGGAATGAAAGGTTACCTTCAGGTGTCTAGTAAATAGGGACTGAATTAAGGACCGAGACTGCCCAGGGCATGGAGGTAGAGTCTGGTTGATGGGACACTGCTTCTGGACAGTTTTGTCAGGTTCCTTGGTTACAGAGGGGCTGCATCCTATCCTTCAGGCCATCCTTCTGAATGGAAGTTCTCCCTGAGCGGACTAGTACTCTGTGTTGGGTTCTGTGCTCACCTAACATCCTCCTCATTGGTGGTTTGATCTCCAGGGTAGGGGGAGTACCCTGGACAGTTGTCTGGTTTGGGTTTTCTAGCCAGCTCCCTCTTCTTCCCGAGGAAATCATGTAGCTTTTTTTTTTTTTTTTAATTTATTTATTTTTGTTGTGTTGGGTCTTGGTTTCTGTGCGAGGGCTTTCTCTAGTTGTGGCAAGCGGGGGCCACTCACTATCACGGCCTCTCTTGTTGCGGAGCACAGGCTCCAGATGCGCAGGCTCAGTAGCCGCGGCTCACGGGCCTAGCTGCTCCGCGGCATGTGGGATCCTCCCAGACCAGCGCTCGAACCCGTGTCCCCTGCGTCGGCAGGCGGATTCTCAACCACTGCGCCACCAGGGAAGCCCGAAATCATGTAGCTTTAACATAAGGCTCCTGTGGGGTTTGTCAGTGTGGGTCAGCCAGCTCTGAGAGAGCAAACAAAGCTGAATTCTGTATATACAAAGTTAAATAGCAGCCAGACATGAGGCACTAGGTGATCTGTCCCTCCTCACCAGGCACACGGGGCGTGATGGTGGACATGACCCATAAGAGGCCTCTTTCTCTGTGGCATCTCTTCTGAAGTAAAACATGGCCTTGTGACATCTCAGACATCTGGGCTCCCCCAGAGGGTCAGGGCCTCAGAAAATGCCTGTGAAATGAGCAGAAGGGAGAGGATGCCAGGCAGCAGCCTGGTGAGGCAGGTATATGCAGTGCTGACCTTTTTGCTCCCTCAGCCCTCTCTCCAGGTGGCCTTGTAAACATACTGCCACCCTGAAGAGGGCCCTGGTGGTCCCTCTCTCTTCCTCTCCTCTCTGGGTGTCTGATTTCATCAGCAGTCCTTCAAACAGCAACAACAGCATGGGTGCATCCAGCCTTGTTTTCTTGCTCTCCACCTTTAGACTTGGACATTTGGAAATATTATGTTGCTTTCCTTTTTCAAGTAGAAGATTGTTAATTTAAGACGGGAAGAGTCAGGATGTCTTTTCTAAGTGAGAATTTGAGAAAAACTCAGAAATCCACATTTACTTCAGAAAGAATTTTAAAACTTATATGTAATAGAAAAGACAGTAAAACATGAAAGAAAATTTTGAAAAAAAATAGTGTAAACATCTCAAATTATAATACCTTACAATGCTGTTTTCATGTCTGAATATTACCTTTCAGTTTTTATTTACATCTAGACATAGCTATCTGCAAAGCTGATGATCATAGTATGCAAATCCTTTTGTATTCTGCTTTTTGTTTAATACTATTACATTTTTTCTGTATCACTACCCAGTATCCATGATTATTATTTTTAACAGCTGAAGAGTAATTTATCTTCACCACATACTATAATTTATTAAGCCATTTTCTCATGTATTTTGTTTTCTTGTTCTCATTGTGTTCTTCGCTATTGGAGAAAATGATGCAGTGAACATTTGTGTATATGCGGCTTTTTTCT